GGTGGTATCAGGTGGACCTGGGTTACAAGAGGAATGACAGAGAAGGAGGAGGAAAGGAAGACTAGCAAGGAAAATAAGCAAAAAGAGCAGTCAGACACCTCATTTGTTCTCCATGAGTTCTTTTTTCTTACCATTCCATTACAAATACTTTCCTAGTGCAACAGTATATTGCATAAACCTATCTCTACCAATCCTAAAATAGACTTTTAAACATCTTTTTTCTTAAGTAAAATTTAAATTAATGAAGCTCACTTGAATAGCAATAAATTTCTCCATGGTGTGCATCAACAGGCACCTTACTGTTTGAAAGCACTCTGCATCTGGCTTTTTGCTCCCTGCTCTACTTACAGCATTAACCAATGACCCATTAACACAGCTTGGAATGGTTTAATATTATACATCAAAATATTTAGTTCTCTTTGGATTTCAACTAAAATCTTTCGTGGGCACTAAGTTTGCTTAAAAGAAATAAAAATAAAAAAGATAACATACAATTACTTTTTTTAGCCTCTTTGGTAGAGAAAATTAGTTTGTATATTCAGTATATATGTAATCATTGCAATTACTGTCTTTCTGAAGAATTTCTACATATTGAGGACAAAACAGGACCTTCACATCGCGATCAAAAGACATTTGCTAACAATGAATATATTTGTAAGAGTCTGAGTAGCTATATACCATGCTGAAGTAGTAGAAATTGCTTCCAAGACAGAAAACACAGTAAATTTCTCACTCAGCTCAGCAGAAGCGGAAACCTAGCTCTACAGAACAGATATAAAAATGTGTTAAATCACAGAAGACTTCCACCTGACTTGTGACCACTTGAAACTTGTGAAATACACTGTGCTAAGAATCAAGCTACCATGAGAGTAATATGGTATATTATTCAGGGAAAACCTAAATTGTACACTTCACTGCTGCTGCCTCTCAGTTTTCATCCAGTGGGAAAAAAAGCTATCAGGCAGTCCAAAAAGTGTGTTTCAAGGGCAGAGATCAGTAAGCAGCAAAATTCGCCCTGGTGACTTTTTGAGTCTTAATTAGTCAGACATTAAAGAACAGGAGGCTGTCCCTTGCTGCAGATAGCTGCAGAAGCTGATCCCTCAGCAAATAAAATCCTGCCGAGCAAACATCCCTGGATCCAAGCTTGCACAGGAAACAAAAGGGACAGGGGCTACTACCCTTGAGGCAGTTTTTGCTACACAGTAAGGGGTGTATGGTACCAAACTGAGCAATCTGGTCATTAAAGAAGGGAGACAGTCTTGAAACTGAGCAGCTTCTTTACCCCTGAAGCACCAGAGATAATACTCGATAGTTGAGTGAAGAACTGTCCTCATAATGTCCTCACAAAGCCATAATGGAAGGCCAGGCATACAAATAGGAAGGTCATTCATACAAATGGAATCCTGTTGATCAGTGATGCTCCTGTACATTCAGATGGACAGCTTGCCAGAGATGCATCAATATTTGCATGAATGCTTGTTCCAATGAAAATATGGCACCTTAGTCATTTGGGCCCACAATACACTTTGGACTTTGGCTCAGACTCAGAGCTACTAAGATGAGCCAAGAGTACAGGACTGCCAAGAGTACAGGAATTAAGTGGAAACAGGCTAATAATTAAATTCAAAATGCCTAAAAATGGATTATCAAGTTCCATGCTTTGTATTGGTGATAGCTTAGATATTCCTGAACAGGCAAAACAGAGTCTGATCTTAGGGAACAACTGTTAGGCTGAAGAGAAGGGCAATTTTGGGGAGCTTGAATATAGCCTAACACCAATTCGTGTATGTAGAGACTCTTCCCAATCCCATAGCAACAAAAAGACACGTAAATTCAGTCATACAATTAATTACAGCGGATGGGAATTTGGAACGAGACAACGTAAAATAAAAGGATAAGGAATGTTGTGCTGAACAAGACATAGTATCAACAGATTTGAAAATTTCCTAGGAAAGAAGCTAAAAAATTAACATTATCTTGTTTTCACTTGGATGCTGCCATGGCAAGGACATTTAAATATAGTTAGTTGGATGCTAATAATAATATGATTTAGAAGCAAAAGAAAACAATAAAATGAGGAGCTAAGCACAAGCGAAGTGGGAAACATAAGCTGAAGAACCATCAGACAACTTACAAAAATCCTGTTTTTGTGACTGGCCAGCAAAGTCATCAAGAAGCTGCCTATTTCATGTATAACATATTACAAAACATCCAACCACAGTCTGTTACTCTCCTTTACATAATCTGGCAATAAATCATGTATCCTGCATGTCTGGAATGGTCTGGGGTCTTGCTGCCCCTTCATCTCTAATTATTGATGTAACAAGGTCATTATTGAGAGCAAGTGTTACTGAAAACTTGCACAAATGCAGAGGTGAAGAAAAAATGGTACTAAAGCCTCAGAGAATGTGGCATTCAACTCCATCATGGTAGGCACTATTCAAGGCAGCATTCGTTTGCTCCCGAAGATCAACTGTGATCCTTTTAATCACAGCAGTTATGTGCCCTCCACTCACCCCCAAACAAAAACAAAAAAAACCCACCCCAAAGCTAGGAAGTAGCAAGTACTGGTCAATTATAAGGAAGGTTCAAATTAAGCAGCTTTCTAGCTGTTTGCTGTACTACCTCTGACTTTGACCTGCGGATCCTTTGAATGTTGTGAATTGACATTCACAAATGTCAATTTACTATCATCAGGCTAGGCTGCTGGATGCACATAATCCTGCTCAGGCTCTAAATATTCAGTGAAGTATCAGAGTGGCTGGTGATAAACAGATCAAATTTGGACTTACAGGTAGTACGCCACTACCAAAGAAAATACCTATTTGTATAAATCTTGAAAGGTTTATTTTTCATGAATCTCAAGCTTAATGATTTTCAGTTTTACATCTAAAACAATAATTTTGTACTTTGTAATTACCAACCATGTCAGACATGGCCTCATGCAATTTGCTATCAGTGATGCATAGAAGCTGAAAGTGTTCATTGACTGTGTTCAGTTTTGGGCCCCTCACTACAAGAAGGATGTTGAGATGTTGGAACGGGTCCAGAGAAGGGCAACGAGGCTGGTGAGGGGTCTGGAGAACAAGTCTTCTGAGGAGCGGCCGAGGGAGCTGGGGTTGTTTAGCCTGGAGAAAAGGAGGCTGAGGGGAGACCTCATTGCTCTCTACAACTACCTGAAAGGAGGTTGTAGCGAGGTGGGTGTCGGTCTCTTCTCCCAAGTAACTGGCGAAAGGACGAGAGGAAATGGCCTCAAGTTGCGCCAGGGGAGGTTTAGATTGGATGTAAGGAAAAATTTCTTTACTGAAAGAGTAGTTAAACATTGGAACAGGCTGCCCAGGGAAGTGGTTGAGTCACCATCCCTGGAAGTATTTAAAAGACGGGTAGATGAGGGGACATGGTTTAGTGGGCATGGTGGTGTAGGGTTGATGGTTGGATTCGATGATCTTAGAGGACTTTTCCAACTTTAATGTATGATTCTATGACTGTTGGATGGTTTCTGAATCAATGCAATGAGGGTTTCTTTGTAAAACAAACAGGAGAACAGAACTGGAGGTGACCACAGGCATCCACATGTTTTATTTAGAGGTACTATGCTTAGCATGGTAAATATTGCTAATTGGCTGTGAGACAGAATGGTAAAAAAATTACTTCTGAAGTCTCTTATCTTAGTAGCAGAAATAGTCTAAATGGATCATGTCAGGAGCAGAAGAGCAGTTTCCCAAATAAATGCTAGGAAACTCCCTATGTTAGTAACATAGGCTAACCCTAACACTGACAATTGTTCTATATACTCAGACCTGGTATCAACAAAAATTCATGATTAAATTTGGAAACTGCCAGCAATCCCTGTAGGTTCATCTGGGCTATAGAAACTAATGTGCCTGAACTTTTTTTCCACCTAGGAAAAAGATACAGCTAGTATCAAAAGTGAAAGATATATTGGAGGGGAGGAGTTGCGCGGGGAAGACACTACCAAGGAATTTACTTAATTTAAACTGGCTGTAGATAAGCCCTCTAAGAACTGGACCCATTTCAGCCAGGTACTGCAGTCCTAGGAACAGCGCTGGCTGTCTTCACAAACTATTTCAGATCACGTATTAAACAGTGTGCTGTGAGGGAAGATGCTGTGTTAGGACACCTCCATCCTAACCTCTGGATTAGGACATTCCAGGTATCTACCTCACACCGCGTCCCCTGAACTCAGAATTCATATCCACTGTCTTTGTGGCTGATTTACAATAGTTTATTCAAGCTGCCCCCTCTATTAGCACAAGAAAACCACGTTCCCAGAGATGTCCTAATCCAGCATCCTCCAACCAAATTTAGGGAATGAAGTGCGAAGGGAAAACATCTGATCTGATATGCTGACCTTTATTATTAGGAAACCCCCAAGTTAAATAACACAGAAATGTCACGGTAAGCATTACAGAACAAAAATATAGAATAGGCCCAAGGAAAGGAGCACTGACCAGCCTGTCCTGGGGCTTGCCAATGTCAGGTCCCTCTCTCTTCAAAATTAAGAAAATTTCAGGTAAGAGTGATGTCTAAGAACATACAGTACTGAGGTCATACGAGTGAATTCATACCTTCCTACTGATGACTGCAAGGATGAATCCACCACACAGGATTCTGTCCATCAGCAGTGACGTACACACAAGGTATGGGAAAATCCTTGTCACAGACGACATACACAACTTCTCTTTTTTTGGACAAGGGGAACGGGCAATAGGACATGCTGACAGGGTTGGGTAGGCATGTTCTTCCCAGGCAGGTAAACTGTGTTCCATGGAGTTGATGAGGGGACTCCAAAGTGAGACAGCTGTAGGCTGCCTGGCAGGAAGCCCAGGCACAGAACCAGAGACTGACTGATATAGGATTTAACCTGTGTACAGTACAGGGAGATTCCTTTAAGGAATAACAAGATCCGTAAAGTTTCTGTTTAAGAAAGATAAGCCAAAGATAAAGATTTGAAAGAGAGATTTCAACTGATACTTTACCTTTTCACCTTTATCTCCTTTCTGGCCTGGCAAACCAGCTACTCCTGGCAATCCTGCTTCTCCCTGATTTTAAAAGAAATAAAAAAAATCAACAAAGCAGATCTAAAATATGTATTTAGTTTGATTACCTTGTCTTTACCACAAAAGCCTAACAAAGCAAATGACTCAGAATAAATATAGCGCAACATCCAGGAGAAGGTTTTTCTTTAAAAAAAAAAAAAAGCATTATGTGGAAAATAATTTATTCTCAAGTAAAAACATTTACACTAAATATAATTCTTATTTTTACCATGGATTTCTTTTTGGTGTGTATTCAAACAACTAAACCTTACAGACTTCTACAACTCTAACTTTAAATTAACAAAATCTAAAATATACTATTTCTTACCTGGGAAATACAACGTAAGTACATTACAACACTATAAACCGGTACAATATTTTTTCATAACTACAAAAAAACCCCAAAATCAACCTTCTTTTTTTTTTTTAATACCTAGCAGGATTAAACAGCATGATGCACTAAAAAGCAATAGGAAAACCTCATACTTTATTTGGAAAGCAGTGGCATCTCTCTCTAGATTCTTGCTGCATTCCTGGAAGCGTGTATATTTTGCTGGCATGAACAGTCACTGGTGATGAAGTCGTAGCAAGTAACCTCTCCTCACGTGGGCACTAAAATAAAAAGAAGATTTTCTGATTTTTGGTCCACTTTGGTTGATAGATAAATACTATCCAAACACTATTTTTAAGTTACTTTCTGTTTTAATACTCCTGTACACACCATATTACAGAGAAGCCACAACAATTGCTAAACAGTGGAAAAAGCTGTAGTAAAATGAAGTCTAGACATTGTGATCCGTCTGTATTAAAATCAATGCCAGTTAAAACTGATCTGACTGTCCTACTTCTATCTGCCAGAAGAGCCCAGACAGAGGAATAAAGTCTCCCAAAATTAGAAGCAGTGAAGCAGAAAATGCCCATGGGAAAAAAAAGAGGGTACTTCTCAGTCTCATCCCATCCTCCACCCCCCGGACCTGAAATGCAAAATGTCAGCGTGAGCATGAGGGAAAATTTTGTCATCTTTTTGTAATGAAATACTTTGGGCATGCACAGTTTGGAAACAAACAGAAAGCCCTGAAGCCAGTATTCACCTACTGTAACTCATGAGAGCTGAGCCAACCTGAAGATATACTACAGAACAAGTCAACAGAACCTGATACATTTCAGAAGCTCTCATTAAGATGTCATGACGTCTCCTGCGAGCCTTCCATCAAAGTAATTCCCACATGATTTACAGCTTAGTGTAGAAATTTGTATCCAAGGATAAATTCCTTCGTTAAATTACTGAAAATGCAGCCCTTATACTTGGTAAGGAAGTAATGAAAAAATAAATCAGAAAACGTAATGCTGGTTTCAATATGAAAGTCATTAACAAGTAGTCCACCATATTTTACATCTTCAACGTAAGACGTACAAATGAAACTGATGGTGCTTTTAGCTATATAGCTGAATGAATGTTTAAGATACTATTAATAAAGCCTATCCTTGATCTTTTTGTGTTCATATATAACTAGGGTTTTATTTTTACTTTTTTGCTACTGTGTCATACCTGCTAAATAAAATTTATTTCCATGCACAAAGTGGAACCTACGGAAAAAAAATCCATTAATTTCACTTATCTGTGAGCTTACAGCATTCAAGAGAAAGCCTGCACTATTATCAGGTATATATTTTGAAATATATTTGAACAATAAATTATTTAAAACTGATATTTCCCTTGATAAATTAGATCCAGCCTTTTCCATGCTTCTGAGCACCTATCAGTTGTCAGTTCCCACAAGTCTTCTGCTCCTCTGTTCTTGGGCAGCTTTATCCCTCTATTCCAGGTACCCTTTTCTCCCATCTCTTTGTAGATGGAATCAATTAGTCCTTCTGCACGCTCTGGGGTTTTTTTTGCTGACCGCAGGCTGGGCGGTGATGGTACTGCCCACTATCTCAGAGGAGCCTGCTCTTACGGTCTATTCATAACAGCAGACCAATATTTTAACGTCTTTTCTTTCTGAGATTTTTCTTTGTGGTTTTTTTTTTCCCCAAATGGACTTGATTCAGCAAAACAATCACATCCGCAACTTCAAGCATTTCTATAGTTCTAGTGTCTTCCAGTTTACACTGATTTTATCAAAACAAAAGGGAAAAGTGAACCCTCTAAACTAAATCAATGTTCTCCCTTATGTTAAACAATATATACATCTCAGCATGTGTGTTATAAAGAAGAAAGTATTTGCCAATTATGAAACACCGATTCCTCCATGTTAGCATATTGAAACAAGGGAAACACCCTCAACACCTTCCTGTTTTTCTTCCCTTCCACTGTCATGCAGACTCTTTCATGGGCTTTGTTTATCATCTGTAATGTTTCACTAGATGCAACTGTTATTGAAATGGCCTCTGTTATTTGAAGCCATCCTCAGGTCATTGCAGTGATATGTTTCCTACTCTCTGAGACTTCCTCAGTTACTAATTAGATATTAATCAACGTTAAGAAATGCATTTAAAAAGCACTAGCAGCACCTAGTGCCTTTTACTGAAGTTCCACTGTGCTATTTAGTTAGGCAGCAAAAAACAACGTACCATGACTCCAGATACAGGATTCATTTTTAGGAGGTAATTAATCTAACACTTCTATTGAAATTTCTTTACAATTCTTTAGTAAGAAACAATGAAGCAATTTCTTTTGTATTAACATTGTCATTTTAACAAATAACTTACCAGGTCTGCAGATATTTCACAACACGTATCTTCTGTTGCAAGATTTGGATTACAATAAACTGTTATGCGGTGAAGTTCAATCTATTAAGAAATAAAACAGAGATTAATATGAGATGTAAAAAATCATGTGTTACGGCATGCATTTTCTTATCTTGGCATAATAAACTCTCTCTGAAACACTGCATATTTCTGAAATGCTGGAAAGAGACAAATCCAAACCAATTACACAGCTCCTCACCTAAGGAATTACGCAGTCTATTACTTTTTTGTAAATCACATTTTAGATTTAATTTATCTTCATGTAAGTTACATCCCTTTGCTCTTGCTATGCTACATAGGCATTTTAGCCCTCTAGACATCCTCTGCAAACCTTCTTTTCGGGAACGTAATTTTCTCCTGCAGTGAACTAGAGTAAAGGTTTGATAAGCTCTCTTTCACATACATCTTCTACCACTTTGGACAGACCTTTGCCTGGACCTTGCCACTAAATCACCTGAAAAGCAAAAATCACAAGTTCTGTACATAAAGCTTCTGTTTCAGAGATTTTGGTGGATTGGTGAGATGAACAGCATCTAATTTTAACTAGCTAATCCTGCCCTCGTATGCCTCTTTCTGCATCTGTTTTGTACCCTCTTATCCTCTCCCTTGCACTTGGTATTGAGAAGAGTGACTGTTGGTACAGGATCCGCTCTGCTGCCTTCACCAGCTTTATGCCCATAATGTTTTCCTGCAACTGTGGAAATCCCAATCGACAACTTCCACTCAGAATTAGACAGCCCGTGCCATGCAACCAACACAAGATAAAAAGAATCTGCTCCCTCTCCTGCATGCTACTTGGAAATGAGAAGATGGTACATGCATTTCAAATAAAGTTGAACTCAGTCTTAGAAAATGAAGCATGAGCTTGGCCTAACCAAATAAGTGCTCTGAGTCCAGGCCAAAGCGTTTAGTGCCTCAGAGGACTGATTCCTCCCACAATGCTAGCTTGCCGTTACAATGTGCTATTTTCATCTGGAACTGTATAGCGTACATAATATAGCTGAAACTTTCAGACAGTCACTATAAACTCCAAGCCAGGTGCTTTAAACCTGGTAACTGGATGTCAGTGTACTTAAACTGACATTTCCTGGAGCTTTCAAACTACTTGCTGTGAGCTCTCTGCACGAGGAAACAGAGGAGAGCATCTCTGAGACAGAACACAGCCCAGAATATTATGGGGTTGCCTTGGGTAACTCTTGCACCAAAGGCTGCAGGAAACACACCTCCAGCCACTTCCTAATCCCTCCCATTCGGAGGAGGGAGTGACAACTATGAACAATGTGCCCCTACATCTGCATAGCTGAATTACCCTGGAATGTGATACAGTCTTGATACAGAGGTAATCCTTAATGTTTTTGTGTCTCCCCTTTATCAAAGAGAGACAAACTGTAACAGATGACTGATACAAACTTATAAATATATCTCATAAAAATTGAAAGAAAAAAATTACCACTGGAAATTATCTCTAAATGTAGTAACAATATGTCTACAGTAACTATGTGGCTCTTACTCCAGAGCGAATACAGAAAAATAGACTCCCGAAACCAGGACTGAGTTTTTGTAGTTACTTTGGTAACAGAAGGTTTGCCTTAGCAGATGCTACAGCACTGAATATTGTTTAGAGAAAAAGACTTAAGGACTTCAAATTAAGAATACACGCTCAAAATTAATAACCGTTTTTGAACCTTTTATCTACATAATTCTTTACAATGGTGTTAGTAAAAGCGTGGCTAAAATATGATTTCAAGTTATCTGGTTTTCCTTTCATACTACTCACATCTACGGGCTTATCATCTGCAGCGCGAGAAGCAATCAGAGTCCTTCCCTGCAAGTCAATGGTGAATTTTTCATCAGTCTGCTTTCTTTCAATTAAATTACAATCCAAATAGAGGGAAATGATCCCCGACTGCACACTAATACCAAGCTTATGCCACTGCCGATCGAACAATGGATAAATCTCTCGATTCTTAAAAGTGTAATGCAGTATATTTCCCTGAGCAGATTTGGTCATATACTCCACAACCTTTTTTGTACCATCCAGAAGGACGGAGATCTGAAAGCAAAATAAAATAAAAGAAGTGGTCATTTAAAAGTTACGAGTATAACAAACACATATATAAACTACATATAATAAAAATACTTCAACTACATAGATTGCACAAGAATTATGTTATGAAGCATTCTTCTGTGCAACTTTGTAAATACGTATCAGCTATAAATCATAACATGCCTTCTTATTCTAGTTTGCAGTCTTAATTCAATTTGTTAAATTTCTGTCATTCCTATACTAAATCATCAATTCTTTCAGAGCAGTCTGTCTATTCCATATAAACTGTAGCTAAATGCAGTGGTGAAACCTCCACTAAGTTATATTTGCCATATTACATGGGGAAAAATAGAAACTTAAAGAAAAAATAAATCAAAGACAACGCTAACCTCAGGTGTGTCATACTGATTTAAAACTTGCCATATATACCAACGCTCTTTCTTGGTATTTCGCCGTACACGGAACGTAGCAACTAGAGAGTATTCTTCAGGAAGCCCATCTGGAAAAACTTGCCTACACAAGGAGGGAGGAAAAAAAGATTTCTTGTTATTCTTATACACACAAACACTGCTTTAAAGGAATGAACAGAAATAATACCTGGTGAAAACAAGGACCCAAACGCTCACTCACACTCATACAAATTCGCAGGCTTCAGCATTCAGAAGTGCCTCTTCTCAAAAGTACAATTCAGTCTATTTATAAGAATAAATGGCTGAAGATTGCGCTAATAAATTTTTTATTCTTATTTTTTTTAAATCTGTGATTACTATAAACAGGAGTCTTAAAAGAACTGCTGCAAAGTGAATGCCACACATAAATGTATTTTAAAATACTGCTTTTCCCTATTTATTGCTTGGGATACTGGAACAAGTTTACCAGACGATTTGTGGAATAAACCCCATCCTTGCATACTTTCAAAACACAGCTGGACAGGGCTCATAATAACCTGATCTAAGTTTCAAGCTGGTCCTGCTTTGAGCAGGGGGTTTGATCCAGTGACCTCCACGGGCAATAACTCTGATATCTTGAGTATCAGAACAGCTGGACTTTAGCAGGCTTGAACAAAAATAAGGAATACATTTCTGAATAAATGACTCGCTGTTGTTTGATTTTGTTATTCCTTTCTTACCTAACATATATTGATGCCTCTAAAAAGAAGTCTGACTTGCTACCTATATCACAGAAAGCAGTACAACACCACTTCTACGAACTATTTGAAAAGTTTGTATTCAGAAAAAATGAAATTAGTCTGCAACTCAACTCTACAGACTTTGGTAATCATTAAATATATACTAATTCTGTGCTAAACAAATTAGGACAGTGCAATCACCTTTTTTTTTTTTTTTAACCTTCTACATTTCAAATTATTTCTTTTCTAAGACAGAGGTGAGACAAATGAAAACCACAGATGCAAACACTACACAACACACAAGTAGCTAAAGTGTTAACATTGCTGTTTGCTGAAAACTGTCAGGGTTGCCCAAGTAGCCACATTGCAAAAGGCATTCCCTGGATCAGAGCAGAGGAAACCTGAGGGCCCCACGCAGCAGAAAAATTTTCTCCATTTTTCTTCCCACAATCATGTGAAATAAATGGTTTAGTTCTAAAAAACTATAAATGGGGTTATAATTACACAGTAATGTGCTATAAAGGCTTTATTTAAAAAAACAAAAACCAAAAGAAAACAAAGGGGAAAAAAAGAAAAGAGGAAAGCACCAGCTGACAAGACAATAACCCCACAACCCTCCTGGAAATCAGTGCACTTCAGTTAACTTAGGATCTCAGGAAAAATGCCTTCTGTGTAGAGAAGCCTGCTCTAAATCCTGCCAAAGAGCTTCTTTATGGACTAACACCTATTTAAGACCCTTATGTGGGGATCACACTTCTTTGGCTTATTTCCGACAGCTGATTCCTGTTTTATCCCAGGACCAAATTGGCTGCTCTCCCACGTTGTTAGTGGACCCATATGCTCTGTTGCACAGCTATAGATGCTTCAATGCCAAAAGGCAAGGCAAAGTGAATAGGCTTTACAGGATATAGATCTAGATTTCATAGTACTCTGCATTTTAATTATAGCATAAAGAATACGTTTATGATTTATAAAGAAAATTCCCACGTTGTTAGTGGATCTGTTGCTCTGTTGTACAGCTATAGATGCTTCAATGCCAAAAAGGCAAGGCAAAGTGAATAGGCTTTACAGGATATAGATCTAGATTTCATAGTACTCTGTATTTTAATTATAGCATAAAGAATACGTTTATGATTTATAAAGAAAATACCTTCATTGGGCACCAGTAATACATGAGTGCATCTCTGCAGAACACTAATCTGGACATTGGGACCAGCCCTATGGTTTACAGCACCCCAGGCAAGCTAAGGAGATGGCATCTCAGGTTTACAGCTGTAAACTAGACAGTATATCTGGCTGTGGGAGCATCTGATTAGCTCTCCAAAATCAATTAACTTTCCCAGCTAAGTTCCATACTGGGAGACACAGGGGAGTTTACATTAATGGGCAAAGGGCAGACAACTGTGGAAGGGAAATGATCAGAAGTCTTCATCAAATTAAAGGAAGGGAAACCATGATTGGTATGATAAGTCTGCAAAACAAACGGAAGTAGTTTCTGGACATGGTGGGTATTCCAGTAAACATGGAGCACGTTTTTCTCCCCCCCCCCTTGTTGCTTTTTACTGTAAGCCTCCTTGACACTTTAAGAGCTATCTAAATGAATGATAGTATTAGTCTTCTAAAATTTTAAGTGCTTCTTTCGGAATTTTCTCAAAAAAATTTGGTTGCGTGTGAGTGCACATGATATAAAATTATCTTCCTTAGCTGTTTATCAAACCATTTGGGAAACAGGACAAGACTTAAGGTATGGGCCAGCATTATGAAAAAGGGCAGGAGTTCACTCCAGCTTCTCTCACCTTTGAACTGACACAGAAAACTGCATTGGGAGAAACAAGAAAAGCAGACAAGGTCAAATTAATTCCTAAGGGCATTATACTTATTTCGGTGAAAACAACTAAAGAGGTAAGATTTAAGTAGAATTGGACCAAGGATAAATTCAATTAGATTCACAAAATAATTTAGGTAGGAAGGTACCTCTGGAGGCCAATGGATCTAACCCCCTGCTCAAAGCAAGGCCAACCTGAAAATTGTATCAGGTTACTGTAAGTCCTGTCCAGCTGAGTTTTGAAAGTCTCCAAGAATGGAGATTATTTCACAACCTTCTGGGAAACTTGTTCCAGTATCTGGCCCACAAACAGCACAAATTTGGTATGCAACTACTGTATACCAAAGACATAACTTAACAGAAGCAATAACTTTATTCTGAGAAGAGTTCTCATTGTGTAACTATATGAACATTCCTTGGCGATCAAAAAGTCATTAACAGATGCTTTAAAGTATACACTTAACACTCAACCCTTCCAGCCAGATGGTGAATGCTAAAAGGAAAAAAATGAAGGGATAAAATACTCAGAAAACTAGCATACTATCTACTACTATACACAACTTCCCCTATGCTCTTGCTCCCTGAATGGCTTCAAGTGAACGTAATAGAATAAAAAGCATGCATCTAGCATTGAAGTGACTTAGGTACAGGCAATCAGTAAGATACTACAGCAGGATTTAAGTATTACTACCATGTTATCTTCTACTCTGTAAAGCTCAGTGAAAAACTGCTCAGAAATAGGCAAAGTATGTATGTGTTTTAAACAAAAAATATATAATGACATTTGATGGGGGAAAAAAAAAGCCTGAACAGAAACATGAACATAAAACCTTGTATCAGAACATGAGAAAAGCCAATAGAAAATTCTGCAGAATACTGAATTTGAAATTCAGAAGTTCTTTGAATGTTTAATATACTGTTTCACCTGATAGCATCTACCAACATTTAAAAACTGAGACATCATGTGCAGGGTGAAAACAGTAAGGCAGCAGCATTAAACGTTAATGAAAAATACAAAAGTGGTTCCACATGTCCACAGCTCAACAAGTACTTCCTCACAGAGTATTTACCCTTTCCATGTGGCACAGGGAAAGAACAATAGGAAAAGGAGAGAGAATAAGGATGAAGGAAACCTGTATCAAGCTCACCTCAAAGTCTACAGATGTAAAGCACAAATATAGAGAACATTAATTTAGGGTAGTACATCATGGTGTCTAAGCCAAAAGCAGTAAGAGAGATGGTAGGTCTTAAGAAAGCCCTAACATTACAGAAATATGGGTAGCAATTAATAAGTGTGCAAATTCACCTATAAAGACAACAAGAAAGAACTTATAAGTTAGAACAGACAAGCAAATGCAGGTATCCTTGGCATCTGGTCTCTGAACCAGGGGATGCTTATGCTTTTTTGGACAAAAGTGTCTGAACCAAAATACATAATCGGACTTGGGAGCAAAAACATGAATCTGAGATTTTCCTCTACCAGGAAATATCCTTAACAGTGGGACAACAGTCAAGTTCTCCCATTCCTGTTGAGCTTCCTTAGCTTAGGACATCCTTCCTGGAAGACTGCTCTAACCTTTAAGGCTATTGAAAAGGTCCTCTCTCCCTCTTCTACACTGGATGTGCTCATGACTGCTGTGGTTTGTGTTGAATTCAATGCTGTCCAAGCTTATTATGTGTGATTTAAGCACAGTCAATGGCTTAGGCACCTCTGGGGACATAGGCAGCATTCAGGCATCTCTACAGACATCTTTGAGTCACTATGAAACTTGTGTGGGAGTTACATGCCCGGCTGCTTAAGCCATGGTGCTTCTGAGCTTCCCTAGAACTTATGCCCAGATGCCAGGGGAAATCTGTTGTCCAAAATGATTCATTTTAGGTGCCACCAGGGGTTAGGTGGTGCTTGAGAGTAAGCAATTTGAATCATTCTCTGAGACTCAGGCGCCCAAAGTCTGACTAAATTATACTTTAGGTGGAATTCAGACAGTTTGATTTTCTCCCTCTGTCCATATTGTCAGTAGTATATAATAAAAAATGAAAGTTGATGAATGGAGCACTGTGTTCTCAAAGCAAAGCACACCCTTGGTGGAAACTGCTGAAAACAATAGCAGGAATTGAAGCACATGAACTGAATACACAGGCTTGAATTTACACCACCCTAGCCTGCTGCATTGAGGTGTACTGTAAATTACAGAGGCGCCAGCTGGCAGATTGAGGAGACCAAAGATAACAAGCAGGAAAATCCCTAACAATACAAGGTTTTAAATCGTACACATATACGTTACAAATCCAGACATTCAGGTATCTCTTTATGTTCCACAGGTTGAAGCATCAGGCAGATGCATCCAGAATGTTAACAAAAACACACTGATGTTCCTGCAACAACTATGTGCCACTCTATCAAAGTATATGTATACTCAGAGTTGCAAAGGCTTTTGTTGCATTCTCCTCTTTTTTACTGAATTAAAAGTAGCCATAATTTTTCCTAAAAACAGGTGCTGTGGCCCAAGCACAGCACAGACTGTACATTATGAGGTTACCAGAAGAGCAGTTACAGGA